CTAAGATGGAAATGAGCCTAGTGTACTTACGAAACAAGGCAGCCAGTATGGCTGGAGCAGAGTGAGGGGGCAGAGAATATGAAGGAATAAAGTAAGAGAGGTAATGGAGAACCAGCTCATGTAGAGTCTTGTCAAATGAGAAGACATGAAATGTTTTTAAGCAAAAAAGTAATGTGACAATTGCTTTTAATAAACTTTTTATTAGAGAATAATTCTGAATTTACTGAAAAGTTGCAAATACAGAATCCCCATATACCCTTCATACAGTTTCCTCTAAAATTAACACCTTATATTACCATGGTGCAATTATCAAAACAAAGAAACCAACATTGGTGCACTACTATTAGGTGGACTCCAAACTACTCAGATTTTACCAGTTTTTCCCACTAATATTTTTTTGTCTACTCTAGGACTCAATCTAGGATAACATATTGCATTTAGAATCTTACATTTTAATGCAATTTTTTACTTAAATTTAATAGTATCACTATTCTCATACTGTATGAGAATAATCTGTAGAGAAGCAAGGATTAAAGAATGCAGAGAGACCAGATAGAACATTATTACTGCAACCCAAACAAGAAATGATAGTGGCTAATGACAGACACCCAAGCAAAAGATGATCAGAATACTAACAGTAGAAATAGTAGGAAACAGTCAAATTCTAAGTATATTTTATAGAAAGAATCAAAAGGATTTGCTGATGGACTGGATGGAATATAAGAGAGAGTAGAGAATGACTCCAAATATTTAACTTTTAGCAATTGGCTGTACAGCGTTGCCATCCGCTGAAATGAGAAAGGATGGGGCAGTGGGGTAAAAGAGTTCAGTTTCTGACATTTAAGTTTGAATATCTTGAAGAAAACAAGTGGAGATGTAGAGGTAGAAAGCTGGATATGTGAGTTTGGAGTTCAGAAAAAGAAGGGACAAGAAATATGAATTTGATAGTCTTCAGTATACAGATGGTATTTAAAGTCATTAAGACTTGATATTATCAAGAGGGAGTGTAGACAGAGGAAAAGAGAACCAAAGACTGCACTCTGGAGCACTTCAATAATAAGAGACCAGGACTAACTGAAGGGAGACTGAGAAGGAACAAACAATAAGTAAAAGAAAAACCAAGAGTGTGAAGTCCAGGAAATCAAGTGAAGAAAATATATCATCAAAAAAAGAATGATCAATTGTGCCAAAAGTTGCTTACAGTTCAAATGGTAACAAATGAAAATGATCACACCTAGAGATCACTGGTAATGCTAAAAAGAGCACTTTGTAGGTGTGTGGGAGCAATTGTCATTTTGAAATAATCCCAAAATATGCTTTCTGGGATATTGATTATTTAAAGCTAGTTAAATAATCAGGAAAAATCTTTTACCTTCCCCCAACAACTCAAGGGAATTTAAACAAAGGTCCTGCTTCAGAAAGAGAGCTATTATCATAGACAATTATAATTTAACTAGAGGCCTATTGTAGGAAGATTCCTGCAAGAATAGGGCTTCCTGTGGCCATCTCCGTTGCCCAGCCTGCTTCCCTCCCTTCTCTGCCATCCCACTCCCTTCTGCAGGCTTGGCTTCCTTCTACTCTGTCTTCAGTCTTCATTCTGTGCCTGAATATGCAAAATAGCCGCCATCTTGGTTGGGTTGATTTGCATACTCATTCTAGATTGGCTAGTGGGTGTGGCTTGTGGTCTTATGTAGGTACAGTCAATCTGCATGTTTTTCTTTTATCAATATTAATGTAGATATGAACTAGTATATGATAAGGAGGAACCTACCAAGGCTCCTTTGACCAAAGTCCTCACTGCAGTTAAAAGATGACTCAGGAAACATTTATTTACAAAATATCTGCTTTTCTATTTCTAAGTTTGCTTCCCTCCCATATATAGTCCCAAACCCTCTATCCCTTACCCTTCTCCTGGGCTCAAAATAGCATAAAAGTCTTAACTACCAAATTTGTCCTCTTGTCACATTTTCTTATGACACTTCTGTAATATGTAATAAACCTGGTTATTTTCTCTTATTAATGTATCTTATATTTACTTATTAGTCCAGCCAGAACTTTATAAGTATAGAAGGGAACATTATTTTTTTCTTCCCCCATACAAGAAAGAATAGAAAAAAGTTTGGGATTTAGAGTATAGAAAAAAAAAGGATTTTTCAGAAGAGCAAATCAATACGGTTGGAAGTAGAGAAAGGTTAAGAGAAGCATTTCTTAAGGTAACAAAAAGAAAGAAAAAAAACATGCAAGCCAAACAAAACTTTTATGGGTCTAAATCTACAAGCCGTGGGAAAAGAGAATAAAAAAAAAGAGAAGGGAAAGGACAAAGACAAATACTAGAACATGAAGAACCTCAAACTCAAACTATGGTGGCTACAAAGTTAAATAAAACCATTTAATATATGTGAATATCAGTGAATGAAAGAAAATGGGAAGTCATATAAAAGGAAAGCTTCAATACTAGATACAAAGTAAAAAGAGAAAAGCTGGAGAAAGTGGTCTGGTGTTATAAAAGCAATACCAATTTATTTTAAAAACCTTTTGAGTGTCTAACATGCAAGTCAATCAGCTCTACATCATTATCCCTCCCTTTAAGGAATTTTTAATTTAGTGAAAGAGAAAGCTAGACACAATAAGCAATGCTTACTGTGTGCTTATTAATGCCAAATTCTTAAAGAGATGATTTACTTTATGAACTCATTTAAGTCTCATAACACTGGAGAAGACTCTGAATTCTCTCCACATAAAAATATAAATATGCACTATTTTTACATAAATTTCAAGGAAACCAATGAAACCAAAATTGAAAATATTCTTCTATTGATAGATGCAAGAGTGACAACAGTTTTTGAACAAAGGAATGACAGAGTAAAATTTTATTTTTAGTAAGTAAAGGATCTAAGATGATTTAGTAAGAAATGAGAATTCATAGCAGAGCTGCCAGAAAAGAGACTTTTGAAATAGTCAGCAATGTAAGATAGTACCTAAAATAGTTCATTGGCAGTAAAAACCAAAAGTAGTAGATTTATGTGCTTAACGACCATGTAGCACAACTACTAACTTCCCACCTCTCACCACAGGTCAGATTAATTTTGTTTGCTGTGTTACATTTATAAAAAAACATTATTAATTTTGTTTGCTATGTTACATTTATAAAAAAACATATGTTTAGCTTCATGTATTGCCATTTGTGTTCCTCAATGAAAAAGTTTAACTGGCTAATACTATTCTTTATTCTTTTGAAGCTGAAGTACATAAGTGCCCATGGCCTAAAATTAATTGCAATACATAAATACAGTGTGATCTTGAACTTCAGCTTCCTAGTGCTCTTCACAGGTGGCTTGAAGCTCAGCTTCACAAAGAAGTATTTCCCTTAAATGTTCATGTAGATCAAGACAATCTTCACATGAAAGCAAAAAGTCATGAAATCTCAACACATTTACTACTTTAGAAGCCAAGCTTGATGAGATGCACAACATAACTGCTATAACTAAGCCAAGTTTGTTTAACTTGAATGGCAAGACTTGTAAGGTATAAATGGCTTGGTTTCTTATAGAAGAGGTTACTGTACACTTTTTACACATTTTTTACTCTCCTCTTTCCCATGATCATTAGATTTCTCCAAGAAACAGGCCATCTTTATTCCTCTGCTGCACTCTCATTTTCCCATTAATAAAGCTCAATAAAAACTTGATAAAATTGTACATTTGACCAACTCTTGATAATTCAGTAGATTGGAAAGTTAATTACATTTTTTAAAAACTGAATGTGGTAGCAAACAATATAATCACATAACAGAAATCTAATGTTTTAATCACCATGCTGCCTTAAATATAGAAGGATCTCATAGTTTGGCCAAATATAGCTAAAGATCTCATATATTGTAGTTTGGCCAAAAACTAATAAATCAACTCCTTATTAGTTTCTTTCTCATTCTTTCTCTATCCATTTTCTGAGTTAATAAAGAATGTAAAAAATAGCATTCTGAAAAGAACTCTGCTGTCTGAGGGGAAGAAAATAAACTATACATCTGGGGCCAACGAGTTGTCATAATTTTCTGATTCATTTAAAGGGGTAGAGGAATAAACTCAAAGAATTCCAAAAACTATGCAAACTGAATACGTCAACGCGCCTGTTTATGTAGGGTATGCGAATAAAAAAAATGGGGGGAAATATAGCCTCAGCTACTGTGATTATTAAAATTAGAGAACGCTGAATAATACTAATTAGAAGAAAAAGTTGGCATATGACTCGTCTTGCCGTTGGATCATTTCTCTAGAGTACATAACCGGCTCGTGAACTCAGGAAAGGGCAGGTGCTCTCCAACCCTGACCACAGACAGTTGCCTGTGATCCCAAAGGGCCCAACACTGGAGCCCCAGATGCAACTTGCTGACTGTTTACAAAAAGCTGGAGGTTGGGAGAGGGAAGAGGCCAGTGTTAGAGAAATGATCCAACAGCCTACTCAACACAACCCTCCCGATTCCAGGCTCCTCTTCATCCAAGACCGTTATAGAGCATTTCAAAGACGCTTTGTAATCCAAAGGGAGAAACTGACAAGGGGGCCCAGCTGGGGCACGCCCCGCGGATCGGGCCAGCGGACCCAGGCGCCCCGGAATCCACAATCGGAGGGCCCCGTAGCTTACACATTCAAGGGGATTCTGGTGGGGAAATGCCCACGGACTGCGGAGTTCTAGACGGAAAAAAAAGAGGGATCTAAAAACAATGAAAATTTAAAAAATGAAAAGGAGCGGCAGGGGGGGTGGGGAAGGGAAACAAGCTAAAAAAAAAAAAAAAAAAAAAAAAAAGGGCAAGACTCCAATTCCTGTTACTTAAGGAGGCCAGCCCTGGCTTCTGAAACCTACCTCTCAGTGACTCGACTTCCGGTCTCCTCCAAAAGGCCCGCTCCCACAGGCTGACGGCCCGCAGCCAATGAGAGGGTCATCTACTTCCGCAGGAGCGCGTGACGTCACCACCTCCCGCCTTCTTCCGGTGGAGAGGAGCCTATCCTGCAGTCCGCGTCGTGCGGCTCGGAAGGCGGGGCCCCGAGAGGCCCAATCAGAACGCCGGGAGGAGGGAGACCGGCAGGCGGCGAGCACGCCCTTTCCGCCCTGGGCCCGGATGGGTGATGTGGCTGGGGCTCCGCCGGCCTCACTATGGTAAGATCGGAGGCTGTGGGGTCGCGGCTGAGCTTTCTGAAGGGGCTGTCACCCCGAACCTGGGCTCGAGGGCTGGGAGGCGGCCCGGGGCGCGCGGGCCGGGGATCCTTGTCACCAACCTGATTCTCCTGGGGTTCGGAGGATGCACGGGCCCGGAGTCCATGTGGCCCCTGCACGCCCAGCCCGGGAGATCGGGGGCTGACCCTCCAAGGATAACCTCGGGGTCTGGAGCCCTCCCTTCCTCAGAGGCCACTTTCTTGATCTCTGTTCCGAAGAAATATGCTGGCTTGGTTCTTGGAGGTCTTTGAGATATTAGTTTGCTCTCCTTTCCCTATGCTCCTGATCCAGATTTTTTCATTTTTAATTGTTGTCCAACTTGACATCTTAATTTTTAATCTGTTGAATTGGTAGCCTTTAGGTCTCTCCTACTTGATTCAACCTAAACCTTGAGGATGCTACTGTACACTCAAGGTTTTCATGACAGGAGGTTTCTGCAGAGATGGGTTTTCTTCCGGTAGCTTATTGTACTTGGAGTGCTGTCTGGCCTCAGGCCTTCCTCGCCTTCCATCGCGTTATTAAGGTGGTATGTTATTTTGTGTTACTGCAGATTTCATCTGATAGTTTGGGCCTCTTTGAAAAGTTTGAAATAAGTCACAAAATTTGCAAAAGAAATGCTTACATCTGCAGCCTGCAAAAAGGAGGTTAAGCCAACATGGACAGAGGACACATTCAATATCAGTAGTAATAGAACGAGCACCCAAGCTCCTGAGTGAGGCATTTTACCTGTGTTATGATAAAATGCCAAAAACCTCTACTTCATGCCCTCATGATGAATTTAGGAAGTCCATGTGCCAACTGTTGCAGTTATGAGCATATTTAGGGAGGGGGGAGGGGAGGATGTCTGCCTTTTACAAAATCAAAAGCAACCACAATACCCAAATGCTCTTCTACAGTAGTTGCAAAGCTTGTATTCCCAGAAGTTACCAAGCAGAAAACCTTTAGACATTTAATGGAAAACTTATTACTTGTTACAGCTTTATGCTGCTACTTTAATTATAGCTAAGACATTAAGTCATAGTCTGTTCCCTGAAGAAGTTCACCACTCACTTACCACTCAGTTATAGAGGAGATGGCAGTTTGTCCCAACTTACTCCTTCCCTGGACAAGGATACTGTCCAGCTTCTTTCTCCACCTACCAAATGATAAGGTGGATACACTTATTCTGAAAGTGTCATTAGTGAGCTGTCATTTAACTTAGATTTGGCTCCTTCAATTTAAAAAGAGTAGAGAGACTGCTACTCTTAATTCTTGTATATCTTCCAACAGGTTATAAGCATTGTCTTATTTCAAGCCCACAGCAAATTCTGAATAGATGATGGAAGTCAGGGACAGGGAGATTGATGTGCTTGAGGTTGCACACCCTAGTGGAACTCAAATTTATTTTAATGTCCAGATGCCAGAAATCTTCATTTGTTAATAGAAACAACCTAATAGAGGATGAAATGTCTCAGTTATTTGTCACTCATACGGTAATATTCCAATCAGACATAGGTGGATAATAGAAACAACTGCCCTGTGATTAATTTTTCATTTCTGCTCTGTTCCTATGAGCTTTGGGTATCAGCATTGAGTTTGCACCTAAACTTGGCATATTTATGAAGTTACCCAGTGATAATGATTTAAATGTAACTTACCATATTTTAATAAATTCTTTTTTAAATGCTTTTCAAGGCCATAAAATGGTTATCAACAGTAATAATTTACAACTATCAGAGCATTTAACAGTCTGATAAGTAGACCACTTAAGAATTAATATTTTTTTTAGAACTTTAGAGTACTTTGTTCTCCCTAAATTTTTATATCTTTCAAGATTCACTTAAAGTTTCATCTGTTCCTAAAAGACCTTCCCTGTCCTTCTATTTTTGTCTGCTTTAGGTATCCATCCATTTGGGCATCCAGAGTCCTCGTATATATCTCCAATATCCCACTAGCATAGCACTTATCGCAAGAAAAACAGCAAAAAAGGTGTTGCCTATATTTCTCCCCTCTTTTGGCAGAGTTCTTGAAGTAGAGACTAGACCTTTCAATCTTGACATCACAGTGTCAATTAAAGTTAGTACACCAAATGAATGAGAGTTTGGAATACTCTCAATTCAATACAACAAAGTCATGTGACACATGCTCAGTGTATTCAAGGACTTCACAGTCCAATGGAAAAGTCTATTAAATAGGTAAATTCCATGTGGTATTTGCTAATATATAGAAAGACAGTCTTATAGTGGAAAGACTGAGCCAGGAGGTCAAAATCATTACCATTTCCCATCCTTTTCTTGGTTAACCTAAGGAAGTTTATCTTCATTTTATTTATTTGTTGATATATTAGGTGACTTACAGATATTCTCATTTAATGCTCACAAACCACATTTTATATTTAAACTGAGTATAAGAGAAGAGTTGTGAAATGTTCTCCCTCATCATATAGCAGAGAGAATATTAGCACAGAAGTTCTGATGAAACACAAAAAGGAGCAATTCTGGCTGGGAATTGCTGCAGAGAGGTAATGCTCTGACCTATCTGTTCAAGAGTGTTTAGGGATTACCTAAGGAATCATTATCCGGAGCTGGACAGTGTTCTCTATCCTTTAGATAACAGATAAAGGAAGTGGCAGTTATGGAGCCAAAGGGCATCAGTTGGATAGTTGCTTGGAAACTGGCAGCAATAGAAGTTAAGTACTGAAATGAAAAATGAGACTAGAAAGATTGGGGTCAGATCTTGAAGAGGTTTTTGCCATACTAAGGACTTTATATTTTGATGATGCTTCATTGTTTACCTGGTAAAGACTTTGAGCAGGGAAAAGAATGGTGTGAATTTTAGAAAACCAACTGGTAATAATAAAGAGGGTATATTTAAATAGAGGATTAAAATTTGGGAGACGATTTTAAAAAAAGCAGTGGTCCAGGTAGTACATGATTGAATGCCTCAACTCTTGATAATTGTAGTTAGATTAAAGGAAAGGATAAATAAAATAATTTTGAAGGTGTTGCCAGTGGAGAACAAAGTTGGGGTGCTTCTAATCAGGACTGTAGCTTTATGCGTAGCAATGAAAGTTATTAATTTTAAGTGGAAAGTGTAAGTGGAGAAAGTCTATACTTTTGAAACAGATTCGGTGAGATAAAATGGCTATTTAGTCCAGCTTCCTCACTTTACAAAGGGAATTAAACTGATGCTTAGAAATTATGATTTACCCTGGGACAAATTTATGCACTTGCGGATTATTTCATTAAATAATCCAAATGTTTACTTAGCCTCAGGTACTCAGAGAAGCTGGTGTATTCTTAGCATTGAAGCATGAAGCAATCCTGGTTTCTGGGTTTTAAATTAAATTAAGATAGCTTGTATATTTGGTACGTTATCAGTGCTACCTTACAGTAAGCAACAAAGCTTGACCTTAATGTTCTAATAATGCTAAAAGAAAATGTTCAATATTCCTATGTATTAGTAAAAATCCTCTCAGTCACCTGTAGTCAGTTATTTGGGGTAAATGGGGTATCTGTGTATGTGTTTGCACATTCACATACAGGCTTACATTTATCCCTATCTTTCCATGTTTTCTGTTTTCAGAGATAATAGTGGTACATATGAATTTACAAGTACAAACTAATTGGAAATGCTGACCTGACCTAGATTTGTAAAAGATAAAGTGCTGACCCACTTTTCCAGTGCTGTATAATTTTGTAACACAATTAGGTCAGGAATGTCATCTGTGGGTTTCTTTCGACCCCCAGAGAGGGATAAATGACTTTAGTTTTGTGTAAAAGCAGTAGTTATTAAAGTAAGTAAAATTGCTACTATTTGGAGTTTATTTATTTATTTATTTATTTAAATCTTTGGTGTTCAGTTCTTGATTAAAGTGAATTTTAAACTAGCAGAATTAAATAGATTAATAAAAATGTATTTTTTACATAGGAAACAGTCAACATTTAAAGCTCCCAGACAGTGTTAAGCATAAAGAAGGCCCTTAATTAACAAATTGATTAAACAATTTATTTTAATAATCTTAAAAATAAAGAAATAAGCTACTTGTAGCCTAAGTGATCCAGGACTAATGGAAATACTATAGGCTTAGTTAAAGTCTTATGATTAGCAACCAGTCATTGAGCACTCTCTTGGAAATCACTGTTTAGCATATTAGTATGCATATTTCTGCTACTTTTCTCATTGTTTCTTCATGTGAACCTTTAAACTCTTAGGATCTTTTCCTCTTCTTTCCTCTGTTCCAACTATTTTTGAATGATTTCTTTTACTTAGAAGTATTTTTATTTTTACATCTAAAAACAAAACTTTCTCTTGAATTCTTGTCCTTATATTCAAACTCAGTGACTAGTTTTAACATCTTGCTGCGCTTTCAGTAGACAACTTGTGTGTAAGTGCAGACATGTGTTGTCTCATGACCCGTCAGCATTAACATTCAAGAATGATTCCAAAAATTAGAAATTATATCTGCATAGATAAAATGACAAAAACAGAATCTGAAATAGGTATTACTAACTCTTCAAACTGATTTCAGCATAGCGAATTTTATTTATTTATTTATTTATTTATTTATTATTTTTAAATATATTTTATTGATTTTGTACAGAGAGGAAGGGAGAGAGAGAGAAAGCTAGAAACATCAATGAGAGAGAGTCATCGATCAGCTGCCTCTTGCACACCCCCTACTGGGGATATGCCTGCAACCAAGGTACATGCCCTTGACCGGAATCGAACCCAGGACCTTTCAGTCCCCAAGCCGACACTCTCCATTGAGCCAAACCGATTTCGGCAGCATAGCGAATTTTAAAAAGATGTATCAACATTGCAAACAATTTTGTGTTTGGACATTAAGCTTTGCATTGACTATTCATTGATAAATGATTTCATGCACTGTAGTGGTGGCCAAATGAAAATCTATGTTATTTTCATTATTTCAAATGGACTGAAAAGTGATTTACTTTAAAGAGATTATACAAAGTAACTGACTCATCAAGTTGATTTCCTTCTGGTCTAGATAAGTTAATTTAGTACAATAACATTAATTATTTGAAGTATTTTAGAAGCTCTGATTAGCTATGCATAGTGTGATAGGTCTGGGGTGTGGAGGGATAATAAAGGGGCCTTTGGAGAAAAATAGTTGGAGATCTCCCATTACCATATCTTTAGAAGCACAACTATGAGAGTAATGGTCAAAGTCAAGGGTTACCATTTTGACTGTATTTGAGGTTGTTTGTGATCCAGATGCCCAAGCAACCCTGAATCTAGGAAATGTTATTGGATACCTCATAAAAAGGAAGTATTTGTAGGTGTGGTCAACAGAATGCCCCCCCACACACACACAAAAGAAAACCTTGCAAATATGTTATCTTATTTGGCAAAAGGTGCTTTGCATATTTGATTAAGAATTTTGGAATGCGATGATTATCTTGAATTATGTATGGGGATAGGGAAAGGATGATTTAATCACAAGGATACTTGTAAGAAAGAGGCTGGAGTGACTGTAGAAGTCGGGGTCACTAGCCAAGGAATACATGCAGCCTCTAGAAGCTAGAAAAGGCAAGAAAATAGACTCTTCCCTAGAGCCTCCAGAAGGAACAAGTTTATAACTCCTTAGTTCCAATGTGCATTATTTAGTGTTTAATTTATGTAGCTATTATTTATTAAGCTGGATAGCATGCCATTGTATAACCCCCTGCCATTATCACAAGGTGTCCTCATGGAAAACTAGGTAAACCTGAGATGGGAGAATTCTTTGAGGTTCTAGAATTTTCTGCCAGCCAGCTTGCCCACTCACTTAATTATCCAGACCTCTTAGGTGAATCAGCAGAAGACACATTGTTCCATATGCAAGCACCTTAAGACTGGCTGCCTGATAGAACTTTCTCTGAATTCCAGTTTGTGATATAAAAAGATTTAAATGTTGAAAGGAAATTACCTCAGGCCTTTATTTTTTACCCTACAGCCTTTGCCGTTAACATAAGCATAAGGATATTTGCTGCTTCCTTCTGGATTTTCCAAGTATCAGTGACAAGTAAATATAAATGCAAAGGAATATGTGGAGGTTTCTCTTAAGTAAACAATATTCAGCAGTCTGATCTACACTTTTTTGTAATAACGTTCATTGTTAATTTGGAACCTAAGTATGCTCTTGCATTTGTTAAAATGATATTATTTGTAATTGTTTACAAGTTCCTGTTCATTCAGCATTTTTCAGTGACTACTATGCACTATTTTTCTTAATAGTCAGTGGGGTTGATAAGAACCCCAATAAAATAAAGGATACAATTACAGTACAGTATGATGGGCACTGTCATAGGCATCTATGTGTGTAACACATGTCAAAGATCCTGCCTGCTTGATGTGGAGAGTGGGAACAGGAGAGATTTCCCAGAGGAGGTACCTCTTGAGTTGAGGCCAGTTTCAGGCAGGCAAAACTAGATGGAAATGTGGAAAATGCAGAACACCTTGAAAAAGATTTCATGATTTAAAAGATCTGAAAAAAATTAAACACAGTAAATGAATTTTCCTTTACCACCTTATCATCTTTCCCTTTATTTTGTGATCAGGTATGCTTTATTTTTTCTTTGCTTCTTCCCTTTTCTTTACTAACACTTACCTTTTTGAAATCCCAATTAATTTTCTACAGAACAGGAACATCTGTTTCCTTTAACCCTGAGAATAAAATTTTATATCAGTGGCCAACAGATGCTAAGCATTAAGAGGACTGCTTAGGGAGGCTAAGCAATGGTACATTGATGTCTAGAAGTTGAAACACTCTTTAAACCAGTCTGAGTACATCTCAGAGATTTTACCACTAAGATTGTTTGTTTACATTTGAGGTTTTATAAACCCAGGAACAAAGTTGCATATATTATATATTGCATACTTGTAACTGATTTTCATTTGTAAATGGTTTAACATACAAATGTATATGACACACCCCACTTCTTTAATAATAGCCATGTTTCTGAGTGCCTCAAAATCTTTTATTATGAAAAATTCAAACATACAAAGGTAGAAAGAAGAGCCCAGTGAAGCCTCATATATTCAGCTTTTCATCAACCCAACACCTTCCACCACACACACACACACTGGATTACTTAGAAACCAATCCCAGACAGCATATCACTTAAGCTTGTTTCTTTAACAAGACATTGAGGAAAGGGAAAAATATACATTGCAAAATCATGAATTTAGGTGCTCCATTAAGGAAGATGATAAAGCTCCTTTGCAAATTTATTTTCCAGCCACTTTACTACATAAATCCTTTGCTTACTACAATAAATCTGCACATTTTTCCCTGAACATGCAAATTTCTGATTCTATGGAATGCTTTACATGCTTTGGTCTCTTCTGAAGCCTGCTCTCTGTTCTTTGCCCATCTGATTATGCTCTTTCAAGGCTTGATTCAGTTCCTGCTTTCTCCTTAAGGCTTTTCCTGACTTTCCTTTATGAAAACAGCACTTTTTTTGTCAGCATGGCTCAGTAGTCACATATGCTACAGCGAATTGCTACTTAGTTTTGAAAACATATGTCCTAACTATTATAACTGCTGCATACCTCAGTTAAAATGTATAAAATAAGGGTATTAATAACATATATATGGGGATAAATAAGATAATCTAAATAAGCACCCAGTGAATATCAATTGTTGTAGGGTCCTGGAGGAAAGGAATCATGCTATGTACTTTTTCATCCCATATCTAGCCTTATACCCCAGAGTAGATACTAAATATATGTTTAGTTATTTTGGCCAGAAGGAAATATATTTCATGAGGTTATTACCAAGTAGTATATTTATCAACATACTGATATATATGTTCAAAATATGACCCTTGGAAGGTAAGCATTGTGAGATACTTACTGTTTGTTTTCTATTTAGAATTGATCCTGAGTTTATCCATTAACTCTGTTTAAGTTATAAAATGTATATCACTTGTCTTCAATGATGCAAAATTAAAATCCAATTGGATTCACAATGTTGCCTTCTAGTATAAGAACCAGGCTTAGCACTTCGTTCTACTTCTGTGTTCTTCATTATGTTTTGTGGTTTTGTCAGTTTTGTTCTTGGATGCCAATCTTGCACATTTCATATTAAGCTTATTCCTAGATATTTTGCTATTGTACATGAAATTTTTTTTTATATCTTTTACCTGGTTGATGATATAATCGTGAAGCCTATTGATTTAAATATTTTAATTTATGTAGCCAGCTACCTTATATGTAATTCCTTTACGGTCTGTAATTGTTTTTCACTAGATTCTTTTGGGCTTATTATTATACAGTAGCATTTGTGCACTTTTTATTTATTCAGCCATCCCTTATTTGGTTCCTAATATGTGTTAGGTGCTAAAGATTGAGTCTGATAAGACAATGTCCACTCTTCACGGCTCATCCAGTATTATAATAAATGTATGTCAGTTTGCTATGGGAACAGGGAGGAGAATTCTATATGAAATAGGAGAGGGGAAACAGATGGGTTCAAGATTTCCTGGAAAAGATAATGCTTGAGCTGAATTTTGAATAGAGTAAGTCTACCTTTCCTTTACTATGACTGGAAACTTAAGATTTTTAAGTTTTTTATTGAGTAACTTTTAAACATTCAGTAGTGAATGATCAAGTGTTTTTCTTTCACCAAAAGCAAATAACGGTGCGCAATTGCTTAAATTTAAAGCATCCTATCCTAAAAGAATTTCAGAATTGATAGAAACTTTAGCCAACATTTAGTCTATCTCCCCATTTTCCACTCAGTTTATATGAAACAGAGACTTAGAGGCTAGTGATTCAGAAGAACTTGGAGACTCTTTGTCCCACATGTAGTCTGGGCCTCCAGAACATCTGTATTAATTACATATTGATTCAGCTTTGATGAGCTATTTTGGATTTGTGACTTTTTTTGTAGTGTTTTTAAAGTTGTTGAATTTAGAATTTTTGTTACATCTTCTCCATTCCTTAGCTCAAAGACAAAAGAAGAAAGTACACTCTCGGAATACCTTATTATTTTGGTTTTAAGTGTTCTTAGATATGTTTTTCTGTTTGGCTTTTTGAAGAAAAAATATTCTTTATATGGACTTGTCAGGCATATTTTGCCTATGTTTTCTTTTGATATTAATTTTTCTTTTTCTCTTTTTAGTCTGCCATTTTCAATTTTCAGAGTCTGTTGACTGTAATCTTGCTGCTTATATGTACCTGTGCTTATATCCGATCCTTGGCACCCAGCCTCCTGGACAGAAATAAAACTGGGTATGTTACTAATGATGTCTAATCACCCAAATTAATTCTTATAGATATTGAATGTAAATTATTCTAAACACCATTAAACAATTTATTTTCTATATATAGCTTAGTTTTATAATAACTTTTTACCTTATTTTCTTCCTCTGTTTTAAAAATCAAACTATATTCACAGAATCTTATTAAATAAAAAGATAAATATCAGAAGTGACATGAAATTTATTAGATTGAAAAATATATTTAAAAAGATGCAACAGATTTTTTCTGGGATTAAGAATATAGAATAATTAGTAAAATTGGTTATCACATTTTCAAAGTATTAAAGTTTGTAAGCATACTTTCTATAAAAAAATAATATATTATAGACATTCTCCAGTCTAAGACTGCTCTAATCATATGAAATCCCTGTCTATATCATAAAATAAACATCTTTGAAGAAATTTATTTACTTAAACGTTCTTGGGCATGTCACATCACTGTTCATTATTAGATTCATTATCCCTACCCCCCTAAAAAAAAAAATTGAGCTTAATATCATAACACACAAAATTAAGTTTTATAAAGTGTCATATTTGTAATACAGAAATACATATTGAATTTAACCAAAAGGGGAGTATATTTAAAAAAGAGAACATGTGGTAAAAACTATTTTCTTTGCCTTATATAATTGTTAATTTTCTATGAATTGTCTTAATCCTTTCATGATAAGAGCCTGTACCTCACTTAATGATTTTAAGAAATAAAAGGATGAAATAATAGAAGATTTCACATAGGAATAATTATCTCCAGCACCTTTTTTTGTTTTTAACAGGAAGATAATACAAAGGCCAAATTAGAATCTTGCAAGGTCAAACACTTCTCTTCCACTAATAAAAACTTCTACAAAGGCCAGGTGGTAGATATTCAACCATGAGAGTAATAATTTCTGCTCTCTCTTCTTCAATCTATTCTATCTTTGGAGTCATAACATCAATCCATACATCCCATTCTCTAAATTATTTGTTTGTTTTTTTAACCTTTTTTATTTACTAGGGTTGTTTGAACATTTGTAAAGAAAAAAATAGAGCTCGAACCAGTTTTGAATATTGAAAATCATTAGTCCTGTTCTAATGAACTGATAATCTGGCTCTGTTGGCCTGAGGGATTTTATTTAATTTACTAAAGTTGAAAACAGATGCTCTTTGTCCATCAGTTTTTATGACCATGCCCTACTTCTTTGTCTTTTTGTCATTTTTTTTTCCCCCTAAACTATTGCACTTCATCTTCGGCACTCAATTTAATACTTTGTCCATTTGTTGAAATTGCTTAATTTTATTTGTTTTTTACTTGCGTGTGAAGTCTTATTACCCAACCAATTTTATTTCCTTTTTTCCTTCCTCTGTAACTCCAACTATTAACTATAGTTAAAGCATATGGTAGAAACCAGTAAACATTCTCATTGATCTATTTGGATTTCTAATATAATGCTAACTTCTACCTAATAAGATTAGAAGTATTCGTTTCACTAAAGTGTTCGTTTCATTAAAGAATAATCACGTAGTAGTAGAATAGAATGTTGATGCTATTATGAAGAAAGTAGATTGCATGTGGAAATATGTCTGCTCCTCATTCCTTTGGGAGCAGGAATACCTCCATAACATGCTACATGAAAGGAGTTCTCAGGGCTACCAACCTTACAGGAGAGGTTGAGTAGTAGTATATTTCTCCTACATAAAAGACCTAAGAAATAACATAACTATTTTTATATTTTAAAGTTTGATAGTCAATCCTTTGAAAGCTTCTTAAAAATAATTATTTCTATTTTATAAATATTAAGTCCCATTTTATTTTGATTTGTTTATAAGAAATATTTTCTGCAGAAAAAAATTATACACTAGTCTTTTTTAGTTACAATATATATCTTTACAGTGAGTATTCCATGCTTAAGTTGAGAATCTAGGTTGATTGCATAAAGCTAGTTCTTGATGACTTCACTGCTGGAAATAACAACTTAATTTTTTGCTGCTTCAGATAACAAAAAACAGCAGGAAAGCTTGCTATTTTGTCTTGTTTCCTATTTTCATAGACCTGATAGCTTTATCAGAAGACATACTTATGGGCTCATAGCCATAGATACTAAGCAGCATAATTGTTTAGGTTTTTACCATCTATTAAAATTCCTGTGTTTTAATGAATAGCATTTTGAATAACACAGAAATATGTCTAAGAAGGAAATATGAATAGCTTTAATATGTCAACTGTGCTGTACAAATTTCTGATGATACTTAATAGAATATTATGTCTGAAAAGACCTTGACTGTGATCAGATGGTTTCAGACTATGTTCTGTGGGACTTTGAGCTTCCCATGGAGGAGCTCCAGGTATGCTGCCTGAGCCCCACAAGCAGAGTAACTTTAAATCAATAGTGTATATTATAATCAATAGGTTTTTAGAATCAAGGAACTATGGCATTACACATCACTAACCAATTGTCTTCCATTTTTTATGAAATACAACCTGGTTTTGAGTGATACCTGGAGTTATTGTCACATGTGCCTTTAGCAGCCTCTGTATCACTGAACACAACACATGGCCACTGTTCTAAAGGCTTGCTGTGTAAAAACTTAATCCTTTTAACAACTCTATTGAGTGCTGAATGCTATTAAAGAGATAAATGGCTCAACTTAATCACAATTAAGCAAGCAGTTAAGTAGGATTAAATTTAGGCACAATCTGGCCCTTTTATTATCTGTCACTACTTTCATTCAAGAGTCTATATAGTTTTTGTCCTTTTATTCTTATAGTAAAATTGTTTCACCTGTCAGAATGTCCGTCCTTCAAAATAACTTCTATTTTTACCCATTTCATTTAAGCTGAAGTAAGAGACTTTGCTTTGAGGTCAGGAAGCTATTATACTTCAGAGGAGGAAGAACCTATTAAGAACTTAATTGAACCAGTATTTTCTTTCAGTCTTAATCATTCTAATATAATGAATGATTCATTAGCCAGACATCTCTTCGGGCAAAAAGAGTGTAATATAAATTCCCCTGGAACTTAAATATCATGATTTTGTTACACTGATTCTAACTTACTACAGTAAGTAATTTTAATTTATCTTAACTTGTAACTATGCACAGCACCATTAATTATTCTATCAGACCAACAAAATAGTTATCAGCAGTGTTTTTATTTTTTCTGATATCTCTATTCATTGAATATCTTTGTATTTTTTTCTTGCATTGGTCAAATTTGACAATATGTCAAATAAGTGATAAATACATACATATAATATGTATTTAATCATAATATATTCATTTGTAGAATTGAAATGGACATCTTCATTTTCATTCTCTTTATTTCCAGAAAGTGTTTTAAATGTCATATTTAATTAACTCATACACTGTGTTCCTAATGTGGGATTTTCTACTTACATTGAAAAAATAGGCTCATATTTTTGTATTCTTCTTTGTTGAATGTTATAGTTTTATAGATGCTATCTCTGGAGTTCATGATTGTAAATTATTTAAATTCAGAACTGCATTTTAAAAGACCAAATAGTAAGCCCTTCTGCAAATTTTTGCCACTTTTGCATTAATGTACTATAGGTTTAACCTATGACACCACATGCATTCCAGTTAGTTTATATACATTAATAATGGAAGTTATTATATTTTACTTTCCTACATAGTGACTTAATATCAAACAAATTTCAGTTTGGAAGCAAAGCATCAGAAGTTAAAATACTAGTATAATGAATTCTCCCTATAATACTGAGAAAATGATTTCTCTTTCCCTGTAATCAGTAACTACTTTTTTCTTTTTTCTTCTATGCAGACTGTTGGGTATATTTTGGAAGTGTGCCAGAATTGGTAAGTGTCTCTGTATAATCTTCCTTTCTTCAGCAGTAAATTGTTGGCCGGTTTACTTATATCCTATTCACACAAATCAAATTTCAGTTTTACAGTGCAGGCTTCCTAATTTTCTGCCATTTTGTAAAAGTTTGTAGAGTTCTCTGAATTCTTTTCCTTATGTTTTTTTCCCCCCCTTACGTTTTTTAAAGCTAGACTTGGTGGGTACCTTGTGAATATGAGAAAAGTCTCTTAAAATTCAGGTGTAAATGCTGTGTATTCCTGGTTTTGAGAAGAGTTTAGACAATTATTTATACTTTTATGCACAAATGCCTATAGTAGAGAACATGTTGTTCTGTATAATGTGTATGATGCTTAGGACAGCTCCTGTCAACAGAACTAGCCCAAAATGTCAATAGTGCTGAAGTCGAGAATACCCAACCTAGATTTTCAGAGCTTTGTGGTACAGACTTATCTGGCATTCAGTCATGCTCAACAGCTGCAAACCCTGAAATAGTAGAAGAAATCTTAAGCACTTCAAAATAATCAAAAAAGAGAGATAAAGAGACACAATAGCATCATCAATGGCTAATGCTGATAGCTGATGGTAAATGTAAATATATATAAACCAAACTTTTTTTGCTTCAGAGCCAAATCACCCAGAAGAAGAAATAGTATTGCCAAAGAACAGAGTGGTAAGAGTATTTCAAGTAAACTTCAAAGAGAGAGCATAATGGAGGAGCAAGACAGTTTGAGGAAAAAGAGAGAAAGTCACTGTATTAAAGTAATTCTAAATATTCATTGGCAAAAATAAATAAAGTATGGAGTTAGGAGGCTGAGCTTTTAATTCAGTATTATCATTAAGTTTCTAGTTCAGAAATAAAATATTAAGGTATTTGAAATTCATTTTATGTAAATAAAATATAAAAGTACAGCTTCATTCATTAGTCAACCCAGGTAACTCCTTTACTCACAATTATTACTTGAAAATATAGCTAAACATTTATATTCAGTTTGTAGCTTGATGCTTTCCTGTAGTCTCATCTATTTTTATATCTAATTATAAACTGCCTTTTCTTTTTTGCTTGCTCATTTATTTTTATTTTCCTCTCGATTACGTGACTCTCATAGGTTAAAGAGTTCAGTTAAAGTACTACTTCTTGCCAATTCTATAAATGCATTAGCTTTCTATTTTGGCAAAGAAATTTAAAAAATGTTGATGCTGATATGCTGCTTTCTCAAACACATGCTCCTCTTATCTTGACACAGAATATGTCCACAAGGAAAGGATGCAATTTTAATGGGAAAAGACCCAGCCAAATTATCTTATGTTACACATCACATTACAGCAACTGTTTCACATTCATGTATACAGAACCAAGACCAGACAAGAAGTAACATTCTTACCCAAGTTCAACCAAAGATGTTTAACTCTACCACATGGCAATCTCTTTTAAGAAAATTAAAAACAGGAAAATGAAACCCATATGTAAATTATAGCATTCTAAGTTGGAGAATGAGGAAGAGAACTTCCTCAAAAATTAATTTCCAGCAGATGGAAAATTTAGGACAATATCAGTTTCTCTTTTGGGTGTTTAATAAGACTTATGGACAATGAGAATTTCTAGCCGCAAGAAGGGTAACAGACTTATTTATGGAATCTACCTGAAATTTATGTTGGAATGAGTTTTGTGGTTTTTAATCTTGTTTAATAACAAGGTGTTTGTTTGGTTTATTACCACCAAAGAAATCAGTGTTGCTTAAAAATTATAACCAAGGAGATTTTTAGGTTTAAAAGATTTTTTTTTCCTAGGTAGTAGTATAGTGAAAACACTGTTCTCTCACTTCCTATATTTTCCTTTAGCTAGAAGAAGTCCATTAAATGTTTATGGATAGAAAAACACTTCTAGAAAAACTCCAAATGTTTATTTTATTTGTATGTGTGTGTGTAATATCTTTTTTATGAATATTGTCATTGAACAGACACAAAGATGTACACTCACTAACAATAAGACTATGTGAGCTCAATTGAGGATCTTAGATAAGTGTGGTCAAATTTGATGTTTTTCTGAGGTAGTTAACTGACCTTGCTAAATGAAATAAGGATCCTAGTTGCTAGAAAAGTGTGGTTTTAAACATAGAAAAACACAAGTGAGCGATGAATAAACCATATCTACTAGAGGGTCCCAGTACAAACCCTGGATCAGTTCTGGAAGTTGCACATCACTCTTTCTTATGTGTCCTCTAGGCAGCACATAAATGCCTGGTGCTTTGTGAAATTGTACAGCCTTGCAATTGCTAAAGAAACAGGAAAGAATAAGATGAATTTGAGTTAACTCACTATCACAAATCTCTGTTCGCACCACCATTTCACAAGCCAACTCCAGATCTATTTCATGCAAAGGAAATTCACTCTAGTATAAACAGTCCTTAAACACATGTAAAAATCAACTCATACTGAAGTGGTTGTTTTAAGTTCTAAAGTTTTGACCCAGAGTAATCATAACTATAAAAAATATATAAAAGTTTTGAGATGAAATTCATCTCAGAAATTGTTATTTCAAATAGGTTTTTTATTAAGCATCTTATTTTATGCCCATTCTTAACATGTATTTTTATTGTTCACCCTCTGTTCATTTTCCTCCAAAAATGCTTCTTTTTCCTTTTAAAAGTGTCACTAATTGCTACCAATGAGGAAAATATATAGCTAAAATTAGTATGTTGAATTTTTTTTTTAATGGAAGTTTCCCTTTCTGCAGAAAAAATTAAGCAATATTTATTTGGCCTTAATTGAGAATGAATAATTTCTCTTGGATCTCTATCCTACATTCTGTGTTGTATTTTTTTAATATCTGGGTTTACTCAGTGGCACAGAAATGGTGCAATTGAGGAATTTCTAAACAAGTGAAAAGGAGGTGCTCTTAGAAATAAATTGATAAAGTTTAGTGCATTCTATATTGTACTATTTTCTAATGTTTTTATTGATTTTAAAGAGGTGGTGGTGGGGGGAGAGCAAGATAGAGAAACATCAGTTGGCTGCTTCCTGCATGACCCCCACCAGGGATCGACCTGCAACCTCAGGCAAGTGACCTGACTAGGAATTGAACTGGTGACCTCCTGGTTCATAGGTTGATGCTCAATCACTGAGTCATACCAGCTGGTCTATACTTGCTTTTATATTACATCTAGTTCTTGTTTTCCCCACCCCACCCTCAAAATATATGGACTACATAACAAGAACTTGATTGTGATTCTTACCTACTCTTCTCCAATAGTAAGTAATAACCGAATCATATCTGCTAGCTACTCAATCAGTTTGAATTTCTCCCTTATTTCCAACAGGTGAACGGAAGAGTCCTTATGTTGCAGTATGCTGTATAGTGATGGCCTTCAGCATCCTATTCATGCAGTAGCTTGGAAAAATACCTGAATGTAATTGTCATCAAATTTCAATATAAAAATGGGACTTACATGCAGAAAATGATGCAAAGAATGTATAAGTTTGTTTCAACATTGAATGAGATAAATTCCCAGCTGCTGTTTTCTATTTTGTTATTGGACCAATGTTCTATATAATTAAGATGTAATCATTTAATACTCAAAGAGTTTATAGCAATCAATCTCAGTACTGTCACTACAATATTACATTCTGCAATTGTCATTTTGTTGTGTCCAATACCAGTTTTTAGTATCTCCAAGGCACATAGTAGAAAAATTTGGTAAATTATTCAAGTTTCTTTCACTGTGACTTGGAAGTGATATATCTTCATAGAATGAGACCGTATATTGAACTAGCTTTTTTATTGGGAAAAAAGGGGTTCAATTTGTGTTGCTAAGGGTTGCATTCATACTTAATAATACTTGCTTTACCTCTGGCCACACCATTTTGAGCATTAACCAGAGTACCTCCTCTCTTAATGAACTCTGTAGTTTATAGCAGTTTTTTAAACTATTTAAAATAAGCCTATGCAGTTCTAAGGAGAAAGATAAATGAGATGTGACTTGAGTAATATTGAGAAAGTGATCATATTTAACGTGAAAGGATGTAGAACAGCTGATTGATGTAGTCGCTTCTACAGCCTCTCTGGTTAAGTATGGATAAATGTCTTAAGTATAAATTTGACCAGCTGTCATTATCTAAGTAAAACTTCATTCTTAGAATAAAAAGAATAACATAGAACAATTACAAAATGATAATCCTGTGTTGTGTAGAGTCAGGTCTCCACTTATTTTAATTACCCTAAAATGCAAACTGTATTTTTGTTGTTTTTTAATACAGCACTTTGAATCTGGTTTATGTTTGTCTGTCAACTTGAACTGGAATCTCTTATATAACTTAGTAGATGATGATTAATAGTTTTCAAATCTACTTGCTCCGTGGACCATCTTACCTAGAAATTGCCCATTATATATAGTATTAATTAGTTATTGTTCTCAGCTAATCCCTATAATTATTTTTAAATGAGTCTGCTAGTAGCTCTTTCTGCAGAAACAAGACATAGATCTGAAAGCCACCTCTTCTTAAAAATTAAACTACTTGGAAAGAATTTTAGGAAACATCTAAGAAAAGGTGATTACCGTATTTTTCGGACCATAAGACGCTCCGGACCATAAGACGCACCAGTTTTTAGAGAAGGGAAATGAAGAAAAAAAGATTCTGAAACAAATAGTGTCCTAAAATATTTTATGTGCATTAAAACCCAACATCACAGTCATAAACACGTAATCAACCCTGTAAAGTAAACAGCAGCATTTAGAACCATTTTAGAGCCGGGCAAGCACACAGAGACCACACAGAGCCAGGCAAGTAAAAAAACTTTTTTTAAAAGTATATGTGTAGGCTATATTTGGACCATAAGACGCAGGGACTTTTTCCCCCCACTTCTGGGGGGAAAAAAGTGCGTCTTATGGTCCGAAAAATACGGTATATGTTGCCAGCTTTTTCTTTTTTCAAAGGATAAAAGCTGCTTTGTAAGCTGTCAATATATTTGTTTTATTTTATATTTTGGACTATTATCTAAAGGTAGTTTAAAGTGTTATATTTTGCTTTAGATAGAGAATCAGGCTATGATAATTGTTCCTACTCTGAATTTTCTGTTGGGCTTTGCATTAGGTCAAGGATTTTCAGGATATCCCCAAAATAGTACTTTCTTGTCAGCATATACATGCAGAGTAAGTCACCTTTCTGGGTCTGCTTTCTTAGTAACCATCTGTTGTCCAATTCTGCTGCCAATTAGACTTTCTAGAAGCTATGTCAACTAACTTTTCATGTGTTACATGAATCTAATACCAAAAAAAGGACAAATATTCTAGATAATAAATTTTAAGACATTTCTTTAATTTGGCATTTTGGAGGGTGTAGGTGGAAGATAGAGGAAGCAATTTTCTTTGGAAAATTTGTGGTAATATATAAAAATTTGCACTCTATAGATTCTGAACAGAGTGGGAAGCAGCTTATTTCTGAATCCAGCCATTCTGACCTTTTGAGACACAAGCTCCTTAGGAGTTGGGGGAAAGACACAGGATTCTATGAATAAAAGCAATTAGCATTTTCTTTGTTGTTTTTGAAGACTTACCACTGAATCCAGTTCTGTAACCCAAAGGGCAGTGTGGGTAGTTTTAAGCCTAGGGAATATTCAGATACTCCCTTTGTGGCGGTGGTGGGATGGTAGGATGCAGAAGAGGAGTAAGAATCAGGTTCCACATCAGATGGACTGCTGTTGTCACAGTCTTACTGAGAGACTGCATGGCATAATGGGCACTGCAGGTCACAGATTACTAGGTTCAGATACTCTCCCTCGCCTTCCTGGCTCCAGAATCCTTTAATTCCATCTCTCCTGGAATTTGTTTTGTACTGATAATTCCTGCTTGGCTTCAGCTCTGCCAATGGTAGGGGCCTGTCTTCTTTCTAAGCAGTGTTAAGAGATAGTCAATCCAAAGGCTACATAGTGTGTTGGATTCCCTCTGTGGCTTAAAGTTTAGAATCAAGTCCAGTGTCTCCTCAGTGCCTGTGCTGCTGGTCTAGACAGGATCCTGAGTGCTCTTACATATTCAGATTCAAAATAGCCCTTTTGTGCTAGGGATAATAGTAATATGTAATGCATAGTAGGCTCTTTCATCTTAGTGATATGCAGACCAGTCTAGTTTTATCTTAGGACAAAAAAAGTTTGAATGAACTAATTTCTCCAAGTTTACAAAATCACAAACGAATAGATCTCTGCTTAGTTTTGTGAAAAGAACTAGGAGTTGTAAATAGAATATTTATATTTCAGTACTCTCTCAAGAAGCATATAATATCACTGAAGATAGACAAGAATATAATTTCTTCCCTCCAGTAGTCATAAAGTAGCAGTGGGTGAAAGAGCATTTATTATTGAGAGAATGCCAGGTTTCTACAAGAAAGTAAGGGTAACAACTCAGTCAGGGATGTGAACTTCCAAAGATCCAATGCCTAAGCTGAATTTAAGAGCAGTATGCAATGGCACCAGTGATATATTGACCATAAGTACCTAGCTTATGCTACCTGTGGATCAGTTAGACAAGCCTAGAAAGGTGAGCAGAGGTTAGATCCTAGAGGGTCCATATTTTTCTCACTTTCTATTACCTACCTCAAAATTGAAGTTCAATATGTGTTCCCTCCTGCCTAACAAAAAACAACAACAAAATAAAATCCTTCCTTGGTGAATGTACAAACAAGGTTGAACAAATCTTTTGGCCCAGGAATACAATAGCATACTATCCAGAGACTCACCTACTAAGTATATAAAGCAAAGGTAATCAGGTCAAGTATTTGTAAGAACCTTAGTCACCCATACTCCATCAGTGCCAAAGCAGCCATGATTGTTAGAGCACACATCAGCACAAGAGCAGACATTTCTTGGGTGTACAAAACAATATACAATAAGCAAGGATTTACGCTCTTCAAAGCCTGTGAGAAATTACTGGATCATGGGAAGCTAAAAACAAGAATGGGATGACTGCTTTTTACTTTCTTGATATTCAGAACAATAGATGTTCGGAAGACAAGTAGCTGAGCACGTCAAGGACATAACTAATGTCATTTTGTTACAATATTAATGAGATGCCTTAGGAACTTAACTCTTGTTTATATCCATTAGCCTATGGTGAAATTGCTTTCGCTATACATCTTTTTATTGAAAGTCGCAGAACCTATTGATGTTTAGTGAGAACTCTTAATAGCTTTGTGGATACTGTGCAGCCTGTTCTCTATAACAATTAGCAAGTTACACTGGTTTCCAGAAAGAGCTTCACAATTATGTCATGTATGTACTGCCCTCCATGGTGTCTTACTTTGCCCTAAATTAATCCCAAATTATCCGAAATGCCACTCCAATGTCAGAAAAAAGGGGGAGAGTTGGAAATATTATATTTCCTGTGATTTTAAGAGTACAGTTAATCATCTTACTCTGGTTGGTCCTCATGCCTATGGTGTATAATAAAAATGAAAATGAACTCTCAAGAGCCTCCTAATTTTTATTGTCAGATGAGTGAAAGTTTCTTTAAAGGTTAAAAAAAATTGAAATTGACATCTGTTGAGTAAGATGGTAATAGAGAAATGTTTCTATTTTTATTTTCATATTTTAATTGTCAAGATCAATTTGGGGGAGTTTATGTTTTTGGTTATTGTTTTGCAACTTAGGACTGTTCAGTCTTTTACTTGAGTAAGCCTTCAATAATCTAAATTACTTACTTTAGGTAGGAAGCCATTAATTCCCCCTAGAGATGGTTGAAATCTGATTCTGAATGAAAGTTGACAGTTATTACAATTATTTTTATCTCAACTGAAAGCCTTCAGTTGCCCAAACATTCTGGCAAGTAGCTCTCTTGTTCTGTCCAAAATGTCTAAACAGTGTCCCATTATAAATTGAGCAAATTTATACCATTGGAAAATATGAAAAGACTTGTATTTTCATACTGTTTTCTTTTGGGTAGCATGGTCTTTCTACTGTTGTCTTCCCAGCACGGATTTAACAGGCATACCTTTGTTAGACTTGTTACTAAAAAGAATTTATGTAACCAGATGAATTGCAGTAACTATGCAGAGGTGGGCAAAAGTAGGTTTATAGTTGTTTGTATGGGAAATAATATAATAGTTAATAATACAAGAATAAACTTTCCCCATTCAAATGCAAACATACTTTTGCACACCCCTGTATTTGTAGCTGAATGTTGAATTCAAAAAGTATTGCAGATGTAAATGGAAAAACTGTCTTAGTTTCCTTTGATGTGTATTGTAAATCCCTCACTGCCCCATTTTATTACCAGTTGATGTGAAACTAGAGAAAGTCACTGAATTTCTGATTTCTAACTGCTCAAAAGAATTCAAAATGGTTGCTTAAGACCATTGAATTTAACATAGTAGAAAAGCAAAATCTGCAAGTCTGCTTTCAATTCAGAAGATTTGCATTAATATCCTTAACCATACAAATTTGTCTGGAGTGGGAGTGGGGGATCATACGTATTGGAAATAGGGTAGTCACCAAGCACACTTTGTAAAGTATGAGAACTAAAAAATACCCAGGTATTAATACTGTTTGAGCTTGCTTTGGGAACCAGTTACACATTACTAGGACATTGTGACCTCTAGGACCTTTCCACCTGGATCTGCTCCCAGCAACTCGAATTTAATGGTTCCCAAACTAAGCTCTTTATCTTCACTTCTAAACATGCTTCTCCTATGTTTTCCTATTTTTGAAAGTGATACAACGTCCCTTCTATGATCAAAATTTCTAATCCACTAAGCTCCTCTTTCCTCATTTCCCTCTTGTTCCCACCAGTCTATAACTTAGTCATCATTTTTATTCCTGCAGTGCCCATCCTTGTATGAGTTCAAACTCACCAGGTGATTATACAATCCCACATATTGATTTCATATTAGTTTGATATAAGCTTCATTCTGGAACCCCAGAATACAACAGGGCATTCTCCCTACAAAGACATGGAGTGAGTTATGGTGTGGGAGCCAGCATGCCGATACCATTATTTAAAACCAAGAAAAACACTGTAGACAAGATGAAAGATCTAATAAAAAGGTGTTCTTATTCCTGATCCTAAAACTTTTAACAGCTGGGCTTTCCCATGTGGAGTAACGTTACATAAATAACTCAGCCAGGAAACAGAGAGGCTGTGAAGAAGTCCAACAAAATGATAGATGATCTTGGATACTCTGAATATCACACCCAATGGAGTTAACAAAAAAATTTTAAAAAGTGGTCCTTGGAAGGTACTGGTGAGCTGGTGCTGATAGGACCAGCAGACTACAGTACCTGAGTTATATATTACTAACTCTACAGAGGTATTCTTTCTATGTAAGCATATTTAACACTGATTTGCACAGGGGCTTTTTCTGCAGCATCCAAATTTGTCATATTTTAATTAGTCGTGGAAATCTAGAGAAATTGGCTCTCAAAAAAAGTTGTTCAAGTTTTAAACTAAAATGACTTCAATCTTATATTTAATTTTGTCTTAAAGAGGACAGATATCACTGAATACATCCTATTTAGTATTTTGTCCACATAATCTAGGTGTAGCTCATGTTACATTTTCTATTCCCACTTCTTCCTTCCACTAAAGTATACATAATCTGCAGTTACAGCACAAATGCCAGAGCTATGAGAAAATAGAGTGAGGCACAGAACTGCAGTCTAAGAGGGCGAACTCAGCTCTCCTTATAGAAGACAGTGGTGAGAGGGAGCCATGTCTGTGTAATAGATACAAAACTTAGGGGCAAGTCTCATTTCCCTCAGCTTTGGGTTGGCCCCCACTTACATTTCTCAGCAGTTGTTTAACGGACAAAGCGCTCTTAGAGAATGAAGATTCATTTGGTTTTTTCCAGGTATTACCTTGGCCATCCCAGTGTGGTTGGAATTTCTTCTTTGTGAAATGTACTCAGGAATCCACCTTGCCAGGGGTTATGTGGGGGCTCCTTTCTGTCTTCCCAAGAGTTACAGGAGACATTCTGTGATTACAACAATGGTTCTTTCAGCAGGAAGCATTCAGGATGCATGTGGTTGCTACTTAACCTAATCCTGAAATTACCCTTATTTATGACCATCAGCAAGAATCAACTCACCATTAGTTAATACAATGCAAAGGCAAATATCCACATCAACTTGAGGGTAGAGAAGGATAAATAAATAAAACACACTTTGACGTGTTTTAATTGCTTATCACTTCCCCCAATTCTCAGCCCTCCTTCTGACTTTACTATGATGCAAGGTAACACGCTATTGTAACTGCATTTACTCCTGATCACCCAGCACAGTATGCTGCTAAGCAAGAGATGCCTCTATTTCCCGTTATTTATTCTTTATTTTAAGAAACTATTGACCTCTGAGAAATAAGCTTTGTGCTTGAGGGATGGTGATAAAGCTCCTTCAGAAGTCATATGGGAGACATATTTTCATGGCACATTTTGTTTCATACTTAAAATGACTTAAAATTTTTCTCATTACAAAATTTAAATCTATGAATTACAGAAAATTTAGAAAATGCAAATATACAAAAAAATAAAAAAAATAAATGTTTCCGGTAATCCTACCAGTCCAAAATAATCATTATTAACTATTCATGTTTAGATAGCCATATAAAGTTAAAACATATGTAATTTATTTTTATAAAATAGTACATGCTATTTTATGGCCTCCCCCCTTAACAATATATCATGAATGTTTTTGCATAAATTATAATTTTTTCTAATATAGTCTTTTAATATAATTGAAGAGTATTTCTCTATAGAATACAACATAGTATGTTGAATTTATAGCTTGCCATTGGAAATTATATTTTTCCACTTTAGAAATGATACATTTAAAAGAACAGCATGGCACAAATCACATCAGTGTCCACTAGGATTAATTTGTAACACACAGGTGCTTAAGTTAAATACATATCTAAGTTTGTACTTAGGTCTGCAAGAGCAGGGTTTTGTGCTGGTTTTTTTGTTTGTTTGTTTGTTTTGTTTTTTGGGGGGGGGCAAAAGAGTAGACTTCTTACTTCTATTTATTTCAAACCCACTTGGAAATAGCTCCCACTCCACCTCTACCCTTAAAAAGTTCAACATTCACATCTTGTCAACCTTTAACAGAGTAGGGCACAATTCATTTAAGACTCCATTACCAGGAGTCTTCATTAAAGTGCGTGTAGCTGCTTTAGATGGGGGAATCCGATTCTATTAAACATTGCAGTACACCGAGCAAAAGAGAGTTGTTCCCCGGGTTAGACAAAATAAATTGGACATTGAGACATGAGAGAGGCAGAATAATAGCAGACAGAGAAACCTGAAAAGCTCAGGATGTGGGCATGTCATACAACTGAGCAAAACACTGCTGGGTGCAACAGCCTGAATGTCTTACAGTGATCTGTCTACTAACATCTTTGCTGCCACAGTTTTTCCGGGTGCAATGGAGCTATAGCTCCATTTTAATAATGGAAGTTATGGGGGATCAATTTATAGAAAATTTTGATAGAATTCATTTATTTGTTTATTCTACAAAATGGGATATTTATGCAATTGTTAAATACATATAGGAGTATTGACATGGAAGGATACACACAATATATTAAGTGATGAAATCATATGAAATATGCACTGTGATCTCTTAGTTTAAAAAATCCTGTATATTGCCCTGGCTGGTTTGGCTCAGCGGATAGAGTATTGGCCTGAAGATTGAAGGGTCCCAGGTTCAATTCCAGTCAGGGCACATGCCCAGGTTGCAGGTTCAATCCTCAATAGGGGCCATGTAGGAGGCAGTTGATCAATGAGTCTCTCTCATCTTTGATGTTTCTATTTCTCTCTCCCTCTCCCTTCCTCTCTGAAATCAATAAAAATATTTTTTAAAATTCTATATATGCACACACATGTGCACACACACATTATATAAAAATGAAAATACATACCAGCGTGACAATAATGTCTTTCTCTATGAGGTATGAATAACTGGCTTTTATTTCCTATTATTTTTTAAGTCTGTGTTTTTATGGTAAACATATGATAAAATAAATGGCAAGTAAATGCATTTGAACTTTACACTCTACTTTTTTTTTCATGCTTGATATTTTCAGATCATCAGACTCCAGTTGCAACTTGCTTTATTGACTTTTTCCCTTTGTTTCATTCCCATGAGAATATAAAATGTCTGTCATTTTGTCTCCAAATCTGTTACTCTATCTTTCCTTTTCTCTACTGTCTCCCTTACTCAACTTATCTAGATGTTTCATATGAACTTAAAGTGTTTAAGGGTGGCCACTCCTTATTTGCCTTTGGAAATCCAGAATGTGAACAGTATTTAGTAAACTTTCATCCATCATGTAAATTCTTAATTCTTTGAAGAGGCACAAATGGACTGAACTTACCCCCTAATGCCCTGACTTTAAGCACTTTCAACCATCAAGAAAAGTAAATCATTTAAGTTTAGAACTGACAAGAAACAGACTCGGTTATCTCCAACGTATATGCTA